TCTGTTCCATCTACTTTTGTTCCATCTACTTCTACTGTAAGAAATAAGTCTACTTTTGATCCAACTACCTCGAATTCGGTTGTTATTGCCTCACATAGATGATTTGCTAGATGCTACAGGTGGGTGCAAGGTCTTCTCCAAGACTGACCTCGTGTTTGGCTACCACCAAATTGAAGTTGATCTGAACGACTAACACAAAACTGCATTCAAAACACACGATGGGTTGTACAAATTCATCGTTATGCCCTTCGGTCTCACAAATGCACCAACCACATTTCAGTGCCTCATGGACAAGGTTCTCCACCATCAGCTTCAGTAAGTCCATAGAAGAGCATGTCAAGCACCTTGAGAAAGTCTTGCAGGTTCTCAAGGAGGCACAATTGTACCTCAACTTAGAGAAATCTGAGTTAGGAAGGGACAACGTCATCTATCTTAGACACCGGTTGTCTGTAAACACCTTGAGTCGGAGGCAACCAAGGTTGAGGTCATTCGAAAGTGACCTCAACCGGCAAACGTACGCAAACTGCGTTTTTTTCTTGGTATGGCTTTGTATTGCCGGAAGTTTGTTCCTAAATTTTATGTCATTGCTCACCCACTCTCAAGACTAACTAGCAAAAATGTCACTTATGCGTGGTGTGAGAAATGCGAGACTGCGTTTCAAGCCTTGAAAGAGGCTTTGGTGAGTCATCATGTGCTTCCTCACGTTCGTGGTCACTATGGACGCGAGCCAGTATGGGATTGGCGTAGTGCTGCAACAAGATGAAGGCGATGACTTGCGTCTGCTCGAGTATTACAACAAACACATATCCAGCCACAAGGTGGCTACCTCCACATATATGCGTGAGCTCTATGCCTTGCGAGATGCACTCACACATTGAAAGCACTACCTCTTGGGTCGTCACTTCAAGGTTTACTCAGATCATCTGACCTTGCAATGGATTAAAATGCAAACTGATCTTTCTCCGATGCTGACCCACTGGTTACATGACATTGATGCTTACAATTTTGAACTGAAACATAAGAAAGGTTGTTATAATCATCTTGTTGATGCTTTGTCGCGTCATCCTAAGTTTTCGACTTGCCTTGTGAACTCATATGACCTCCGAAGGAGATTGAAGGAGGATCTGGTCTAACACACTGCCAAGGATCCAGACCTTAGTCCCATCCTTGAGCAGATCAAGGATGACCCTAGCAACCAGCCTGATTTTCACGAGTGCGAGGGTCTTGTATTCCGACGTTAAGGGAAGTTTGATCGTTTGTGTGCCCAACCATGCGCCTCTTCGAACTCATTTCTTGGATCTGGCTTATGGTCGGAGTGGACACTTCGACTTTGAGAAGACTTATGAAAGTTTTTTGCAACAGTTTGATTGGTCGGGAATGAAGGGATCTGCTCAGAAGTTTATTGTCGAATGTCAAGTCTATCAGAGAGCCAAGGTCCATAGGCATAAGCCTTATGGTCTGCTGAAACCCCTCTCTATTCCTGATGGACCCGGTGAGTCGGTTTCCATCGATTTCACAGATATGGGAAAGGTGAGTGAGGGAGGAAATTCACAAGTCATGGTCATCGTGGACAATTTCTCCAAATTTCTGAATTTGATTCCTTTACCTCCTCATGGCCCAACTGAGCTTGTGATCAAAAAATTCCATCATCAGTACATTCTGCAGTTTGGCCACCTAAACGAGACACCAGGTTCATTAGTAAAGATTGGAAGGATTTCACCCCTCAAATCTACGACATTAAACTCAAAATGACTTTTGGTCGACAACCCGAAGTCAATGTGTTGGCCAAGGAAACCAACTAGACCGTCATTCAACTACTTCGCGCGTTAATTGTTCCCGATCAGAACACGTGGGATAAGGAGTTACACAAAGTGAAGGGGTTGTACAACAACTCCATTCACTCCTCGACTGGCGTGACACCGAATCAGCTGCAATACGGTTGGCAGTTGCGCAATCCTCTTTCCTATCCGTTCCCCGATCGGTCACCTGGACTGACGCCCGACATGCCTGGCTACAACACCAAGTATGCACTTTGCTCAAAGCTGCTATCGCAACAATGAACAAGCGTCAGCATGTCATGATCAAACATGCTAACAAGTCGCGCAAAAAAGGGAACTTTGAAGTAGGAAGTTATGTCTGGGTCAAAATGTCTGAATTTTCTGACGAAAAGGGCGTATCACGAAACTTCTTCCATCGTACTATGGCCCTTGGCAAGTTCTAAACGTGGTAGGGGATGATTTTGGTCCTTCGTATGTGATTGACGTGCCTCCTCATCTGCGCAAGTATCTAATCTTTCACGCGTCCAAATTGTTTCCACACATAGATGATGAGACTTTTCCCTTTTGAGATCCTATGATACCTCGTGCTATCAATGGTGGCCACGAAATAGACGGAATTGTTTCCCATGAAGGAAGAGGGAGGAACAAACAGTACAAAGTTCACTTCCTTTATCACCCGTTGAACGAGTTCTACTGGATCGACCGAAAAGAGTTGCTAAAAAACGCTCCCCGTGTTGTTAACGCTTATGAACGACAGATCGCCGACGGATAGACCGCTAAGTTTTCTGCATCACTCACTCCTCACGATTATACTGAAACTCCCTTTCTGATCTACACCTACGACGCATTTTGTGCCAACTCTGAATGAGTTACTCGCTCAAAGGGACCTTATCGAGGGGGGTAGTGTAATGACCTGCCAAAACACAGATTGAGAACACTGCTGATTTCTGGGATTTGCCGCTGGAATGTATACCTTGCTGAGATTCCCGCATTCTGCTTTGATTTCTAAGTCTGTATGTGTGTGCATGCCTGCTGGTCTGTGTGCCTGTCTGAGTGCTTGCCGGCCTGAGTGTGTGTGTGACCCGCAAGGATACTTGCTGGTTGAAAGGCCCCGCAGGGCCTGTACTTACCTGTGGCCGTGACTTTGAGGGTTGCAGCGGGGAAAACACTCAAGTAGCGGGGGTAGGCCCGCGACACTTAGAGCAGTGGGAAAAACACTCAAGTAGCAGGTAGTCCGGTACCACTCAAGTAGTGGTAGAAGTGTCGGGTACTGGAAGCCGAGCCGAAGAAGACAAAAGTTGGCATTTTTAGAGGCCCAGTAGCGGTAGGTTAGAGGTAGGCCGGTACCAGTCCAAGTAGCCTGAGTCTAGGGCCTGTTCGGACGATATCAGAGCCCGCAATGATGTTTCCCTCCGAAAGGGAGGAGGTACCGGTTGCTGGGAGGCCGCTCGGCCTAGGAGGTCACCACCCAAGAGGCCAGTAGGCCGCTATATCTTCAGGAGGAGCAAGCAGCTTCTCCTCATTTGCGGTGTGCAAGGATTGTCAACATACTGCTGGAGCCAAGCGCTGGACTTGGGAGGGCTGCTGGGAGGAGGAGATCAGCTGGGCACTCAGCCTGGCCATGGCGAGAAGCCCAGCCTGAGGAGGAAGAAGGGGGCGAAGGAGGAGAGTGGTGAGGTACCTACCTGGCTATGGTGGACACCATCTTCATCACCTTGTTGGCCGCTGCATCTGGAAGGCCCCAGTTGGGGTAGTGCCACACCAAGGAAGCTCGAGGCAGAGTCAGGCATGGCGACTTAGTGAGCAGCGGCATAGCTGCTTTGTGTTGTCCTTTGGACAGGAGTGCAGCGACATAGCTGCTTTGCGTTGTCCTTTGCACAGGAGGGCGGAGTCCACCATAGCCTAGGCATGTGAGAGGAGGAAGACGGGGGAAGCCATAGCTATGGTGGACCTGTTGTTGTGTCAGCTGTAAGAGGGAACTTCAGATATTGATTCTGGTTCATCCACTCATTGTTATTATTATTATTGGAAGAAGAATAAGATTGTCGAAGTCAAGGAGGAGGAGGAAGGTGAGAGAGAGAAGGGGGATTTGTCATTGGTCTTGCTGGTGTACGATCTTCTTCTTCGCCGTCTTCTTCTTCCTCTTCTTCTTCTTCTTCTTCTTCTTCTTCTTCTTTCTCCATCAACCACTCACCCCATCGGCGAAATGATAATGAATCTTCCGCCAGCACAAGGACATATGCGGTGAACCAACGGGCGTAGCTCAGTTGGTCCAGTTCTGAAAAGGGAAAAAAAAAAAGAAATATGCCGTGAGCACTGAGGGGCGAAGTCCCACTACCAGCGTTGAGTTTCCTCAACACCTGAATGTGAACGCGTTTGTGGAGATGTTCAGTTGATGAAACTCAACGCCTTGCACCTTAATTTTTTTATTTTTATTTTTTCCTTTTCTGCATACGCTGAGTACTGCAGTGATGCTGCCTCAGCCCTCAACCTGTCTGCAGTTACTCGCACGCCCCCAAAGCAAATCTGAAGCTGGCCTTTTCGTGACATACCGAAGAGGAATATCCCGTGTACGACGTGTAGTTTACTACCCCGGAAAAAAAAAAAAACACTATGAATACTACAATGGTGTGTCTCCCTTCCCAACATGACCCCAACATGAGGCCCCAACCAATCAGAAACGGTAGGCCGCTGACTCCCATTCAAAAAAGGAGGGATGTGTAATCAGACCGTCCATTTGTTACATGATCGATGGCGTGCAGTGGTCCCATGGTCACACAGGTAGTAGAAAACTATACTACATAGGCCCAAATTTTTTTGTGGCCTCCCCTTTGCATGCCGGAGGCCCAGGGAGACACTTTCCAACCCAAAAATGACCTGGGCCCACTCGTGGCCCGTCTGGAAGGCCGCCCGCCCAACCTCCCGGGATCCAGTCGCCAGCCTTTTTCCGATGGGGACACCGAGCCTTTCAGCGGTCCCGTGTTAACCAGAAGGGCGGGTTCCAATGGCTGCCCCACCCAGTGGTAATTTTAAGTTACATGGACTTTGCCAGGCTCAAGCTCTGGGAGGACAGACACAGCGTCACTGGGGCTTGGCTCTTTTTTCTTTTGAAACAAGTGCAGCAATGGCACTATTTGAAAATGTAAACGCAAAAAACACACGAATGGGCGAAAAGAGCAGCCGCCGAACTCGAAAGGGCAATGGAAGTACCGTGCGCCACCATTGGTAAATTTTCATTTGTTTTCTTTCCCCGTCCGACACCACGGCCGACCGCTGTGGTTATGACACCCGGCCTGGACCACAGCACGCGGTGCTTTCATCGCCGTTTCGGGGTTGGCGGCCATTGCTTTTGCCTGTTCATGTTTTTTTTGCCCTTTCAGACTTCTTTTGTGACACAAACGGACTTACCTCTTTTGTTTTTTTTTCCTTGCCTTTGCCCTGTTGTTCAGTCCCTGCTCTCTGAAGCCTGTTTGCTGAACAGTTTTCAACTGGTGGAAGGGGGCCCAAGGAGAACGGGATCTCTCTGCAGTTCAGCCATCCCGTTTCCAATCCTGCTAATGGTCTCGAGTTTGCATGGAATAAGGATGGTTGCATGGACTAAGGAGCATTCAGTCATGTGATCATCAGAATATCAGACGCTTAAACTTGAAGTAAAAGACAGTTGTGATGTACAAGGTAGCAGCCCCTACAGCGCATCCAATGGTCACTGCATAGAATGCATTTTTGGATTGATGGTTCTCCTTTTCGAAGAAATGTTTCGGCATATTCATGCTGAAATTGCCACACATAGCAGCCATCAGATTGCAGCTAAGTGTGGCCGCCATGAGCAAGATCCCTTTCTGGAGCATGGTGTTTTGCTTGTGGTCCAGCATCATGTTGATGTAGTCCTCAGTGTCTTCCACATATTCCTTGAGGGTGGAGAGTCTGTTGAGAAGGCCATCCACATGCACAAAGTAGGTTTCCAGAAGCATCTCCAGGTCAGTGATTTCTTGCTTCGGCAGGCAGGTGTTGCGATTGTTATAGTTCCTGCTCTGGCAGTAACGTGCACTGGCCTTCTTCCAGCCTCCTGTCTTCTTACTTGAACAGGTCTTTGCGACTCCCCCTCCCGTCACGCCAATGACTCCTCTTCCCGCAGCTGCTACTGCAATCTCATCCTCATTTAGTGTGCTCATTCTCCTCCGCCTCAGCACTGGCCCGCCAGGATGCGTCTTCTCATGAACAAATGGACCAACATGTCCAGCATGATAGCGAACTATTTGTTGATCTCCCGAACCAGATTGAGCCTCCTTCCCTTGACAGACCCTAACTTGCATCCTAGACGATCTTCCATGCATGTCAGAGCTCTGAGCCTCATTGGATTCAGAATGTTCGACGTGAAGAGCGGTGGGTGTTACAGTGCCAGCAGAGGAGGCCTCAGATGATCCGGGACAAATCAGGTTCAGAGCCAATGGCAGCGGAGAAGGACGATCAACAACCTGCGGACGGCCAGAAAGTGAATCTGCAAAAGGATGAGGGGGAGTAGGGGGATGGAGAGAATTACGACTGGGAGTAGGGGGAGTAGAGGGAACAGGAGAAGCGCAGGAGGGAGAGTCAAGAGGAGGAGGAGCAGGAGAAGAAGAAGAAGAAGTAGGCGGTGGAGAAGGAGGAAGAAGAAATGGGGAATCACAAGGAGAATGGGGAGCAGAAGTAATCAGAGGAGGAGGAAAAGGAGAAGTTAGTGCACAGCGGGAAGCAGGAGGAGAAGTTGGTGCAGATTGGGAAGGAGGAGGAGAAGGAAGAGGAAGAATACTGGGAGGATGAGTAAGTGGAACAGGAGGAGGAGGAATAGAAGTTACTGCACAGCGGGAACCAGGAGGAGAAATTGAATTAGATTGGGAAGCAGGAGGAGAAGCAGGAGGAGAAAGAAGAGGAAGAACACTGGGTGGATGGTGTGGTGCCACCTCTGCCACTGTAAGGTCCAAACCAGGGGCACCTGGCGTGGGGCTTGCTAGAGAGGGAGAAGCAAACTGCACAGGAGAATCAGGAAGGGGCACAAGAGTAGGGGGAAGTGATGAACTGTTGACTCCATTAACTTCACCGCGCTCCAGATTGTCTGTTAGTCCTACAGATGCTCTGGAATACGCCCGTGGGCCCTCATCAGTCTTACTGTTTTCTGAGCTTATCTCCATCGCCTGTCCATTGGGGTGGGAACAAACATCACCAGAAATAGCAGGCCCTCCTGATATCATCTGCAGCCCCTCATGACCGTCCTGACAAACAGTGGCAGGCATGGCCAGCGCTGGAGCTCGGACCTCCTCCTCCACCTTCTCCTCCTGCCTCTCATTTTGCTCCTCTGTGTCCTTTCCCTCCTCGCTCAGTTCCTCTTTTGGTTCAAAGTCAGGTGCTTTCAATGACCTCACACTGCATGGACTGGATGGCGACTTTATGTCCGAGTGTGCTTGCCGCAACATGTCTAAGGCAAATGTCAATACGGGAACCAGCCTTGGCAGCTGTGACTGTTTCCCATCCTCTTCCCCTGTCTCTTCCTTTGTCAGCAATGGGCTCTGCCGTGCAGCGTTGGTATGTGTGGACGTCAACCCAGTTGATTTAAACACGGAGTTCTGGTCATTGACAGCCAGCCCAGTCAACGTAGAAGAACTCTGGGCCATGTCACTGAGAGTCAATTCCGTTGATGTCAACCCCGTTGATGCGAGCACCGGGTCGGCATCGCCCATGGTCAAACCTGTTGACCTCAATGCCCGTGTGTCCAGGTTCAGGGGTATCGGCATTGCTGCCGTGTTCTTGGAAACGCTAATTGAGGCCAGGGACTGCAATGGGTCCCTGGTGGTTTGCTCGACACAGGGTTCGTGTTTGCCACTGTTGTTCTCCTCGCTGTTGTTGTTGTTGTTGTTGTTATTGTTGAGGGGGTGGCGAGGGTGGTCGTCAAGGTGGAAGTTGACAGTGGAAACGTTCTTCTCAACCTTTTTCTTTTCGGTCAGTAAGAGATCAGCCAAGTCCTCATAGTTATCAAGAAGATGCTCAAGCATTTCTCTAATTTTCTGCACTCTTACGGTAATAGTGACATTCTGGCTCTTGATAAATCTCACTCTTTGAAGATTGTCAGAGTCCACATTGGAAGTGAGTTCATCGAGGACCGGATACGCCACTTGCTCCAAGGATGAAAGTTCTGTATCCAAATGAGAAAGCGCTCCTTCGAAACAGGCTTCTAGAGCACGAAGCTCAAATGGCAAAGTACATCCTCCTCCTCCTCCTCCTCCTCCTCCTCCTCCTCCTCCTCCCCCCCCTCCCCCTCCCCCTGTTGCTGCTACTGCTGTTCCTGGTGGGCTTGTCTTTGGGAGTGCCTCCCCACTATTACGAGGATTTGAAGCCAGTCTATGGGTTTTGCCATGCTTCGGAGAATCTCTTTGAGGGACAATGCTAGGCTTCCGAATGGCGAACCTGCTAGTTGAACTAGGTCCCGGCCCAGGTCCAGGACCAGGACCAGGGGCAGGCCCAAATATTGTTCCTCCTGTCAGAAGTCCGATTTCCATCTCATTGTACGGAAAGTAGATCGTAGTGAATCGCTGCTTGAAGTCCCTTTTTGGAGTACCTAAGGGGGACCCTCTAAGGGAAGGGATAAGTGGGGTTCGCGGGCTCCCGTCTCCCCAAGATACTGCAGTAGGGGATCCTGAATGTGGGGAGTTTCTCAGCAACAAGTTGGGGGATGGAAGAGACAGCCTTGGGGAGTTAGCTCGACTCAGCCTTGCTCTGGGATCAGTCCTGAGGTAACTAGACCGTTCTGGTGCTAAATTTCGTGGGGGTGTTCCCCTAGCAGTGATATGGTGATGATGAGCAGCAACAAATGCCTCCCCCTTTGGATCCAAGGCCATGAACGATGACACCGGTGCTTCAACGTCTTTCCTATCCTCGTTGGTTTGTTTCCCTACTCTTACTACGTCATGGACACTGTCAAGGGCTCTAGACCTGTCCCCTAGACTGTGCAGGAGTGGGTTGCTCGTGTTCAGAGCCTCAGATCTCAAGCTATGATCCAGCGGCATGCCTTGTATAGGATCGTGCAAAGCGGGCAGCGGACTACTCCTGGGACTTCCATCCTCCTTTCGCGCTTGCATGCGATACAAGCTTTGGTGTGTGCCCGTTTCACAAACAAGGGATGCTGATGAATGAGGATAAAGGTGACAGGTTGGTGAATAAGACCGAGGAGGAGATGGCGGTGGATGCACAGGAGGAAGAGGCAGTGGTGAATGAGCCCTAGGAGGAGACGGTGGTGGCCCAAGAGGAGGAGGTAGCGGTGAACGAGTCCGAGACGGAGACGGTGGCGATTGAAGGGACGGCCGTGTTCCAGGTCCATGGTCGGGAGGAGGCGGCGGAGGAGTAGGTGATGAATCACGAAGTGGAGCTGATGAATGAGGAAGAGGAGGTGGTGGATCGTCGAGAGGAGATGAGATCTTTTTCGTCAGTACCTTGATGAAAGCATCTAGAGCAGTATCCGATCCAGGTACTCCAAGCACGTATACATCTTCCTGTCTGATAATTGCCTTTATGTACTCCAGGTTGACCACGATGGCCTTCTCTCTGGACAAGATTGTCGCCGGATAAGACAAGAGAGGATCCAGAACTCGAAGATCTCGTAACGGGATGTCTGCCAGCCGTACGATCTCGTACTTACTCGCTTCCATTACCTGCATGCTCCCAGAAGCATGAAAATGCATCCAAGATCGACTTCCTGCCGTTCTCTTTCTCTTTGACTGTGGCCTGTCCTTAGCAGTGGTACCCTCCACAAGACCCACAGAACTGATATTGCCCGCCATTGCCCCCAGTTGCATCTGGGGTGGAAGCTTTATTTCTGCTAAACCGTTTTTAGCATTTGTACCACCCTCCTGATTCAGGGACTCCATAAGACCTGCCAGAGCCACCGTTGCTGTTGGGGGTGTAACCTTTCTCTGCCGCTGAGCCTGTCTTTAGCATAGCATTTGTACCTCCTCCTTTTTTACCCAGTGAACTGCACAAGTGGTTAACAGGGACGCCCACTTTTCAGCCCCAGATTAAACCTTGAAGCACTGAAAAGTGCATTTGCCCTGTTTTGTTTTTGGTCAAGGTCCATGTGTGCCAAGTGTGGTGTTTGTTGGGGTCTTCGAGATGACTGTTTTGGCCAGCCCTGAAAATCCTGTTTTTTTTTTTGTTTTTTTTTTTTTGACAGTACAATAATACAAAGTTAATCAAGAACACCGAATGGAAAAGTCCCAGCGCTATACACACACTAGGATGGCAGTTTCACCCGCCAATCCTCTCGCTCCCCCCTGCCCTCTACTACCCACAAACGGCGCCTGACGGCGGGAAACTGCCAGCGTATGCGGCAAATGAGTGAGAGTGTACCTTATTGGCAATACAAAATAGATCATACAGCTTTGGTCACATTAAACTACTCTCTCTCTCTCTCTCTCTCTCTCTCTCTCTCTCTCTCTCTCTCTCTCTCTCTCTCTCTCTCTGTGTGTGTGTGTGTGTGTCTGTGGGTGTGAGTGTATGTCCGTATGAATGAAGGCGAGTATGTGCGTTCGTGAGTATGCGTGTGCGATTTCCCGCCATTCTCTCCATCGCTTTGCCCTTTCCCGCCATTCTCCAGCTCCAGCCCTTTTATCAATGCATCCTAAAACTATGTCCGTGTGCGTATGCGTGTCAATTTTCCAGCCACTCTCAAGTCCCTCCCTCCTTCCTTCTTTCCCGCCAATTTTCATCCCTCCGTTGTCGTCCGCTTTCCCGCTACTCCTCCATCTCTCCCTTCTCCTACTCTCTCCACTTGCCCGCCACTCTCCATCCCTCCTTTCTCCCCCGCTATCCCGCCGCCACTCTCCATATCTCCCTTCCCGCGGTTCTCGCTCTCTCCCGCCCTTTTCCTTCCATGCTTGTCACGTATCTCTCCCGCGCAAATTACCTTCCTGGCTTCTATGATCCACGACACAATATCATCAGAGGCCCCCACGCCCGTACCTACACTCGTTGGCGTCCCCCACGCCTTTTCACCTCTCCCGCACTTTTCACCTTTCCCGCGCTTTTCACTTCTCCTGCTGCGCTTTTCACCTGTTCTGCGCTTTTCACCTCTCCAGCGCTTTCACCTCTCCCACGCTTTTCACCGACTGATTAATTAATTAATCCTTGGCGGGACTGGTGGTCGATTGCCTTGATGACCTATCTGTTGCATACGGCGCGATACTGGGCCAGGTACCAGGAACCACCCCGATTCTGGGGCGGAAGCGGTTCTCATCTCTGTCCCATGGCGCGCTGGTCTTTGCCGCCACGGGGGAAAACGGGCCTGGGGATCGGGCAACGCCACATGTGGGTTTGGTAGGGACGGCCTTCACAACGGCGGGAGGGGAGTCCAAGGCTGTTGCATAAGGAGGCGGCTCGAGCTTCTGCTCAATGAGCTGTGCCATCCTCCCACTTGGCTTCGGCTTTTCCTCCTCCTCGCAAGGCGCTCGGCCATCATCAGTCGGGCCTGATACACGGCTTGAAAATAACTGAACAACTGTAAAGGGCAAATTTCGCACAAAAACAGACTCTTTTTTTTTTTTTTTGTGCGGAGTTTTTCATCCGCTAATTACAAATTTCTAGGCACTTTTTGGCCGAGCCCTAGTTACCAATGTGGCGCTTTTTGCCTTGCTGTGGTTTGTAGGCACAGTCAGAGCCCTGGGGAAGAAACTGCTAAGGTAGGTGAGACACGCAGCTGCTAGATTCCTGTGGAAACCGTTTGCAGAAACGGACACAGGACTCATATCAAAAGTTGCCTGGGAACTGATTTGCTGTTCCAGGGAGGAAGGTGGTTTGGGACTGTTAGATCCAGGTAGGCAGAACGCCGCATTACTGGTCAAATGGATAATTAAGGCTGTGTCCTCTCAATCGGAAGATCATTGGATTCTCTTGGCTGAACAGATCCTGGCGCACGACTGGAACTTACCTCGTGTTAGAGATGTGTGGACATGCTGCATGATGGAATCTTACCTGCGCAGGAAAACCTCTTCACCTTTCTGGCAGGATGTCCTGAACGCATGGAAAAAAGTAGGCCCCCTCACGTGGACACAGCCTACAACCAGAGACGAGGTACTTTCCCAACCTCTGTTTGATAATCCGCACATTAGGGGAGATGATGGGAAGCCATTCTCAGCAGGAAGCGATCCATCCGCATTCGGGAGGCAATGGGCTGAGAAAGGCGTTCTCAGGGTGGCAGACCTCTGGGACGCAATAACAGGTCAATGGACGTCGCTGCAAGAGTTGAAACAGAAACTAAGGAGACTAGGACATGTGGAAGAAAGGGCGGCCTCCCTGAAGGCCGCCATCCCCCCGGAGTGGAAACACCTGCTGAGCCCCGCAGGAGTTCCCCCTCCGGGGACATGGTTTAGCACACAGTCCTCACTGGCACAAGAGGATCAAGCGGAAGCGCTATGGAAATTACTCTCCACAGACTCGGAAGGTACCAGACTGTTTCAACGATGGAGTAGATTGCCAGGCTCGAAAAGTTTAATATGTGCAGACGAGAGCCCCCCCTCCACTGCATCCAGGCCATTAGGCAATCTAATACAGGTAAGGATTCGGGAAACATGCAATGATGGGGGAGAATGGACATGTAAGCTCTGGGCAAATGGGACACCAATCCATGAGTTGCGACTGGACCCCAAGATGTGGTCCTGGCAAGGCTCCAGGAGGTTCCCCAAGGAAGCGTGGCTTACAGACTTCACGACGGCAGGAGGATATGATCTCCAACTTCCAGCAAGAACTTCACTTTCGGTGGCCATAAGCAGGTGGGCACAAGTTGATTCTTCGGAAGAAACATCAATCAGCAGAGCAATTACAAGGTGCTGGACACAGTTGAAGAAGATGCCCCTGATCAGAGCCACGACCCTACTTTGGTTACTGTCGCTGTTATCGACCCCCTCGGCAGTTTGGCTGGTCGGGAGGGGAATGGAGATTGAAATTCAGTGTGTAAGGTGTCGCTGGCCATTTGAGTCCACAGTGCATCTGTGGCTGTCGTGCCCACTGTCTCGAAGAATTTGGGAGTGGTGGAAACCCCACTGGGACCGCATTAGCGGTCCAGTTTTCCCCTGGGATGACCATTGGATTCTATTTGGTGGCATCCCGGAAGACTTAGCCTTGGATAAAGGATGGGGCTATGTAGCCCAGGCCCTCAGGGCATGCTTGTTTCTGGTGGTTTGGGAGGTCAGGAATAAGACTGTTTTTGAGGGTCACTTTTTGTCAGACAAATCAATCAAGGCCATGGTTAAGCTGCAGATCCGTCGCAGTATCAAATGTGATTGGAGAAGGAAAGTCTCCTCTCCAAGGCTAAAGGAGGCAGGCTTGTTATGGCACACAGGAACTTGGTCCTTGGGAGGGCAACTGGTGAAGTGCCAGGAGGGCAAACTTTCTCTGGATGAGTGGTTGCTCAGTGATGAATGACATACCTGGGCGCTCGGTTAAGCTCCGCAGTAGGAGGGCAGTAATTGGTGGGAAAGTAAGGTAGGTAGGAGCGTTAATATTTTTTTTTGGAGCTTTGCTCCGCCGCCCCGTTTTAGGGGCGGTCAGTAACAGGGCTTAGACAACCGTGTAGGTCTAAGCGTTCTGGACCCAAGATTA